TTTTTTTTTTTTTTGGTCCAGTTTCAAAAACCCACCGAGGGTTAGGGCTTCAAACACAGCCAGGCGCGTGCCTTTGTGCGCCTCGTGGGGTCGCCCTCTGGCTCCCACCCTTCCAGCTCCGGGACGCGGGAAGAGCGCTGGGCCCCGTGCCCTCCCGGGACCGCCAGCCCCGGGGCGTGGAGACGAGGGGGCCTTGGGGTGGAGGTGCCAGGCCGAGGGCACCCATCCCGCCGCCGCCCCCAGGGGGCCGCCATGCAAATGCCGCCTCTTTGATTCTCTAATCCCCACCCGAGGGTATTTTCCCCCCCACTGGTTGTTAGAGCGGAAGTGGGGGGAGGGAGGGAGAGAAACGGCATCCACCGGTTGCCTCCCACACGCGCCCCAGCTGGCGCCGGGGATGGACACCTGCAGCCCAGGCGCCTGCCCGTGGCCGGGAATCGAACCCGAGGCCCTCGGGTCTGTGCGCGCCGAGGCTCTAACCGCGGAGCCACACCGCCCAGGGCTGCTTTTTTTTTTTTTAAGAATTTTTTTAAAGAAATCACACGTATGATCTCGCTGGTCGTCCTTCGTGCCCGCTGCACGAGGAGAGAGCATTTTCTCTTGGGTCACAAATTGTTCTGACAACACGCGGGCGCAGCGAGAAGCGCGCTCGCTGCCCGGTCCCAGGAACCGGAGCGCAGCGCCGGCGCCGCCCCTAGTGGCGAGTCTCGGAAGTGCATTGGGTCTCCCTTTCGTCCGGGCTGAGCGGCGGCCTTGGGGACCCACCGATTCTCACTGACCAGCGGCTACAGGTTTGAATAATGTAATTGTCTGTGAATTTGCCCACTGACCACAGATTTTAAACTTACGGGCTTTAAAGATTTTCACTACTTTCTGTTCAATTTCTGCCACTTAGAGTGATGTCTTCTTTGTGTTCCTGGGTGCTGTTACTGCTGCCTTCTGCATTTATTTCTGGAACTAACTGAGCTGTTTCAGCTTTCCTGTCTGTACCAAAGAGCTAGAAGTTCGGGTGATGTTGTTCATCTCCATTGAGTATTTTCTCTCTTACAGGTGCTCTCATCATTTGGTATTTCCTTCCTTCGGCTTCCTTTTGGCTTATTTTACTGTTATTTAAGTTTTTTAAAAAATAAAACCTTAGCTTATTAAATTTTAGTTTTCCTTCATCTCTGATATAGACATTTGACGTTATATATATTTGTTCTAATAACCACTTTAGTTTTACACTAAACATTTTTTAGTATTTTTATTATCACTTAGTTTTAAATAATTTTGAATTTGTATTATGATTATTTTATCCTTGACTTATTTATGAGGGATTTTCTTAATTTCCACTAATATTTACATACACAGTTATATAGAGAGTTACATTTGTGACTATATAATATATAAATATGTAAACATATAATTTATTATATATTTATGACTATAAAATATATAATCAAATATAAATATAATTTAATAATGATTATGTTATTGATTTCTAGCTTGGAATCAGGGAACATATTCTGTATTATTTCAATCCATTGACATGTTGAAATTTTACTTTATGTGACGCAGTATATGATAAAATATTTTGGAATGTCCTGCGTGTGTGCTCAAATGGAGTGTATACCCTGCTATCACTGGGACAAGTTTCTGTCTATGGCTGTAAATCAAGTTCATTAATGATGTTGTTTACATGTAGTATAACAACATACCCTTAGTGATTTTCTTGCCTGTGTGTTGCATCAGTCATTGTAACATATATATTAAAATTCCCTCTAGGAATGTGGATTAGTTTTGTTTTTTAAAAATGTGTCAGTTTTTGCCATATGTTGTCATATCCATGCACATTTCAAATGTTAGACCTTCCTGGTAGTTGAATCATTATGAAGTGGTCCCATTTATCCCCATTGAAACTCTTTATTGCACAGTATATATTTTCTGATGTTAATATACTCATGATGGTCAGTATTCCTCAGAAAAATTCAAATACTAATCTAGGTTTCACACAGATCTCTTGTAAACAACATATAACCACATTTCCCCCCAGTCTGACTATATTTGTATTTTACCGTGAGCACTAAGTCCACTTGTGCTTTATGCAATTTTTTAAATGCATTTCGGCCTAAATACAAAATCTTATATTTTTACACGATATGTTCTACTCTCCTTTTCCCCCCTCTTAATCTCTCATTCCTTATTTTCTCTGGTTTGATTGAATAATGTTTCCAGAACCTTTTATACTTCTCCTAGTTCGTAGGTGATAAACTTGGGGTCAATTCTTTTAGAAAATTTCCTTGAGATTACAACAAAATATCAAAATCTAAAGCTTAGCATAACATTTCATTGTCTCCTGAATAACATAAAGACTTTATCAAAGGTAAATTCTACTTACATTTTCCTGAATTATGTTACTGTAGTATGGTATTTAAATATTATATTTTATGTTTGACCCCTCTACACATCAACATTATTTTTTTACAATGAATATTTGTTTCCCTTTGCTCACAGATTTGCCACTTTCTAACGTTTTCAGTCCTTTTTGCATATTAGACCTTCAATCTGCGGTCACTAATAACCTAATCATATCTCTCAGAATTTACTTTGAGAAGTCTTTTGTTTGTGAATGATCATATTTTCATTTGTATTAAATATCTTTATTTCACCTTCAGTCGTAAAACATAACATTCATTAAGTAGGACTTCTAAACTAGCATTTATATCTCTCAGGACATAAAAGATACTCTTCCATTGTATTTGGGCTTCCCATATTGCCCCTGAAAAAAACCAACTGTCGGTCTAACTGTGGTCTTTTTTAAAGTATTCTTTTTTTTTTTTTTTCCTTCTGGCTACTCTTAAGAATCTCCCCTACTCCTTGGTCTTCATTGATTTTCTTTGGTTTCACTGAAGACCGAAGAGGAAGCTGTTGGGATTGGCATGGAAAGCGGTGGCTGGTAAGAAGTGAGGTTGGTGAAATTAGTATGGACAGTGGCTTGTAGAGCCTTGAGCAGAAATATGAAGGACATAAACTTTATTTGGGGCACTCAGAAGTCTTCACTTCTGAGCAGGCTGTGACATAAACATCTGGGACTGGCCCCTCCAGGTTGTAGGGGAAATTGTTGGCAGAAACTCTGTTATAACAGCTAACAAAAGTCCTGACACAAACATGTCTTCAGAGTTCACAAAAAGCTTTGTGTCAGCACTTTAGTTAGCTATTTTACATGTACCATCTATTGATCTTCCGCAATAATCTAGTTAGATGGGGATGATTTCCCTGCTTTGCGGAACAGTAAAGTAGAGCGTGGGGAAATAAATGAACTAACTCAATAAGTGGCATAGATGGATTTGATACAAGTCCTGTGGTCCTTCATATATACTAAGGGATTCAAACCATTGCCAGGAAAATCATTAATTTTAAAATAATCAGACACTGAGATTATGGGCTGAAAATCATGAAATCCACAAGTTGAAGTCCTAACCCCAGTACCTCATAATTTCTCCTTGCAGCCCTGTCTAGTTTCAAGATAGGGTCTTTAAAGAGATATTTCAGTTCAAGTGAGGTCATTATGGTGAGCCTTAATCCAATATATCTGTTGTCCTTATAAGAAGAGGAGATTAAGACACAGACACACAGAGGGAGGACCATGTGAAGACACTGAGAGAAGATGGCCATCTACAAGCCAAGAGGAGAAGCCTCAGAAGAAACCTACACGTTGCCGACATGTTGATCTCAGAATTCTAGCCTTCAGAACTGTGAGAAAATAATTCCTCGCTAGTGTGTCTTGATCTCTGAGTACACGATGTTGGCATCTTCCTGTTCCTGAAGCTTCAGGTTGCGGAATCTGACAGAAGCATAGTGGAGCTCCTGTTCCTCTTTTGCGACGGGGCTAGCACCATCAGGGCCCGGGTGAGCTGAAGAGCTGTCTGTCCCGAACTGGTGCCGATGCTCCTGAGTGGAAAGGAGAGAAAGGATTCAGAGATGCTCAAAAGGGTCCGGGAGAAAGCAGCCAAGAGCCAGGATGGGATTGGGACTGGTAGAACTTTTATCATTTATTCACCCATTTATTTAAAAATGTGCAATAATTAAGGTTGGCCAGTCCTTAGGGAGTGTTTGTATTAATCACATTTTATTATTTTAAGAAATATTGGGGGAGGATGCTATGATTGTGTTCGTCTTACAAACAACAAACCTAAGGCTAAGAGAGATCATACACATTGACCTGAAGACACACATCTATGTAAATGCACCACTGAGCCAGGACTCAGTACCAATCTTTCTAACAATAGTGGCATCCTTTGTTCAGGCAGGTTATGGTTTTCTAGGAGAGGTGGTTACTAAACAGATAGAAAACAAATATATTTCAAGCTCTAAATTTGGGATAGAAGATATTTTGAAATATAAAGCAGGGCCAAGGGTGGCATATCCTAGAAGACACAGACCAGAGATCAGGTCTTGCAGCAACCAGACACCCTCACCCATATCTGCTCCCTGCCCACAGCACCCTCAGTCTGCAGAAACATGAACTAGAAGCCTTCAAACAGTAGCTCAGAGAGGCAAAGACTAATAGTTCTCAGATGAGGTGGAAAGAGCTTCACTATAGCAGAGTAAATAGAGGATAGGTAGAAGGATGCCCATGGTAAGCAAAAGCAAGATGGAAATAAACAATAAGTGGACCGCAATTCTACTGCAGCCAAAGCACAAAAGAGGAAACATTGTGACTGTTAATAACCATAACTAAAGTATTTGTATCAAAAGACAGAGTAATGGTTTTTAACAGAAAACGAGGCCCAGCAATATGGTCATTCAGTGATTGATTCCAGAAATATTTCTTGTACCTACTGTGAGTTATGCAATAGGCACTCCCCTTGGCCCTGGGTATACAACAGGGAATCAAACTGCCCTTGGGGCTTACATGCTAGAGGAGAGAATGATTCTGATGGTAATCATGAGTCCTGTGCTTAGTGTATGCCAGGTACTGTTTGAAGCACTCCTCATAACCACTCTGTGATACAGGTAATTCTAACATCACCATGTCACAGAAAATAAACAAAGAACAGAGAGGGTTCATCATTTGTCCAAGGTTCCACAGATTCTAAGTGGGGGGAAATGGGATTTGAATGCAGGCAGCCTAGCTCCACAGTACCTGCTTTGAACCTCTGTGTGATACTGACTACAAGAGACAGTTATTAAAAGGGAAAAGAAGTTGACTGAAAATTCAAAAATTAAATGATGAAACAGGTGTATTGTAATTCCTGACAAGATGAAGATTTAGTACACACTAAGGATTTCATTCCCCAAGATCGATCAAGCAACAATACAGGGATTTATGCAAATTAAAATTTTAAAAATGATTTCCTGTCTACTTGTTCTAGTTACTGAGAGAAGGCTTTTGAAATGATTGTGAATGTATCTATTCTTCTTCACAGCTCTGTCAGTTTTGGCTTATTTATTTTGGTGCTCTGTTATTGGGAGCATACATGTTTAGTACTTTTATATTTTTTAATAAAGTAATAGAAGCCAACTATGTAGAGTAAATATTGCATGGTTCCAATTATATGAAGTTCCAGAATGGACAAAACTAATCTGCAGTGACAGAAATCAGAGATTGCTGCAAAGGGGGAGTTGACTGGGAAAGGAAACTTAAGAATTTGGGTGGGGGTGTGATCAAAATCATCCATATCTTGACTGGGGATATGGTTACAGAATGTATACATTTGTCAAAAGCCATCTAACTGTGTACTTCAAATGGTACATTTTGTTATATGTAAAGTATACCTCAATAAAGTTGATGTTATTTGATTTGAAAAATGCAAAATGAGAGTGATGAATTGTGACTTTGGGATGCCTCAGCTGTCTACCCTGGGGCTCCTGTCCACCCCTTCCTTGTACTCAATGGGTCTGACACAGACTAAGCTTGGGTCATTACTCTTCCTCAGTGTTTAACACCAGAAGAAAAGGCTAATATTCCCAGTACTCAGCCATAAAAAAGATGAAATACTGCTATTTGAGACAACATGGATAGTATCATGCTAAGTGACATAAGTCAGATGCAAAAGGACAAAAACTGTATGATTTCACTCATGTGTGGAATATAAAACAGAAAGCAACAAACTCGTAGACACAGGCAACAGAATGATGGTCACTAGAGGGGAAAGGGACTGGGGGGAAGGATGAAGAGGGTAAAGGGGGGTCAAATATACGGGGACAAAAGGAGACCAGACTTTGGGTGGTGAGCACGCAATGGAGTATACAGATGTTGTATTATAAAGTTGTACAGCTGAAATGTATATAATGTTACTAACCAATGTTTCCCCAATAAACTTAATTTTAAAAAGGAAAAAAGAACAGATTCAAAATAAAAACCCATCTAACTGTACACCCGAGATATCTGCATTTTGTTATATGTAGACCAAAAAAAAAATTCCAGGGTAGATGATAATCTGACATGAGGCTTGAATTCACCCCAACAAACCAATTGGATGACATGACATTCCACCAGAAGCAGTAGCATCAGAACAGTCGAGTCAGTCATTTAAAATAACACCTGTGGAATTCCAGAAAGTGCTGGATACCTAACATAGAAATGTCTAAAAGCCCCTACAGAGGGCAGCATCCATCAGACGCAATGCTGAATGGAAGCTATGTCCCGTCACTCACCCCAGAGCTCGAGACTGGTTTCACATCCTTGTCCATGCTCTGCACAAGCTGGGCGGCTTTTTCCCTGCAGGTCTTCACTCTAAGGAAACAACCCTGGGCTTTTCAGCCTTGTTATTTGGGGCATGGACTGGGCAGAACATCCCTACTCCCTGTGAGTAGGTGGAGGTGGGTCCTGTCTCCAGGTGCTCCCCTAACCCAAGCACTGGACACAGAGTAGTTGGGAAGAGACCCACACTTGGCCCAGTTGACCACAGGCTCCAGGCTTTCCCACCAACCCAGGGCCCTCCAGCTCAGGTTTTCTGAGATTCCAAGACCTTAAGCCCTTCCCATCCCAGACCCTTCTCTCTGTCCCTGGCGCTCACTCTCACCTGAGGATGAGACAAAGGCAGAGGGAAAGCAGGGCCAGGGCCATGATGCCAGCTCCCCCGACCACTCCGAGGACCCTGCCGGCCTTGGGTTCTGGTTTACCTGTAGATAATTTGAGTTTTGTGTAAGTTCCAACCCCAATCCAAAGCATCCTCCAAACTGGCCACTTCTGTCCCTGTGTGCTCCATTAGTGCATCCCCCACCACTCCACCATGTCTCAGAATGTGTCCTTATTTGGATATAGGGTCTTTACAGAGGTAACAGTTACAATGAGATCACTAGGGTGGACTTGTAATCCAATATGCCTGTTGTCTTCATAAAATTGTGGAATTTGCACCCAGACACACACAGGGAGAATGCCACGAGGATGTGAAAGCAGAGATTGGAGGGATGCTTGTACAAGCTAAGGAACACCAATGATTGCCAGCAAACCCCAGAAGCTAGGGGAGACCTGCAACACACCCTCTACCTCAGAAGGAATCAACCCTGCTGACACCTTGACCTTGGACTTCCAGCCTTCAGATCTGTGAAACAATAAATCCCTCTGTTTAAATTTCCCAGTTGGAGGTATTTTGTTCTGGTAGCTACTGGTATTTTGTTCTACTACAAATGTCCAGGCTGCTCTTCCCCCAGGCATCACCACCCTCCCCCAATAGATCCCAGGCAGCAGCAGGACAGTGGATCTCTGGGCCTAATGAACAGCAAAGGAAATGGCAACTGAGTCTGAGATCAGTACTAAGCCCCACTCCCCACCATGAGGCTCAGGGAGCTGATGGTCCAAGGCCCTGCTGAGCTGGAAGTGCCTGGGAGGAGACCTTGTAGGAGGCTTTGCTGTGGTTTCCCTCCAGCAGTCCATCCCCCAGCCACCAGAGCAGGGAGGGGGCTGGCTGGGCTCTGGAGGAGCAGCTGCAGTGCAGACCCTGGTCCTCCCAGTAACAGGAGGGTCCCAGCAGCTGTGGGAGGCTC